TAGATAAAAACAAAAAGTTTCAGTGTGTGCGGCGTAGTGTTGAACTTTTCTTTTTTGTTACAAACGACAGAGGAAAGGCTGATCGGCAAGTTAACACCCTTCCTGCTTTAATTTTACGAAGAAATTGAAGAATTATATTACCATAGCATATTCATAAGCTTTATTCCCACATGAATCACACATGATATTCCTTCTAAATGCTTCTGAACTCCGATTTCTAGTGTTTTTTTACATGAATTTTCGCAACGTATCACTTTTACGATGCTACTGCATGATCATGAGTTATGACGTCACGGGTTTGGTATTTAACCCCTGTGATAACTACAGAGGCCCAGTAATGACACATTTCCATTTATATTATGCCTATGCATATTTTGATACATTTTACGACCTCAAATCAATCTTAGATATCGATTCTAAGAAATTGTTATCTCTAAACCTCACGTCATATAGCTTACTATGACGTCATATCATATAGGCCAGTAGAATATTTGGTTGTAACCTTAACTTACCTGCGTAGAAAAAGAAATATCCTTCTCAAGAACCACTGGACAGGGAAAGCTGAATCTTAGCGGGGCTTCAATAGGGAAAATATTAAGAATAAAAAAGATTATCTTTTCAAGAAGTCCCAAGTAATACAAACACTTCTCTGCACAATTGATCATCTTATAAAAAGGAAGATTGGAACTTTACACGACATATATGTATGCTGTGTCTATATCAACTGATTGAAAGATTTCTAGCATTAGATTTCCTATATTCTTACATTCTCACCAGTGAAATACTGTAAATGTATAACTAAACTAGGTGTCCTCTGAGCAATAAGCTCATCTAATGATACGCATGCCTTCCGCATAGGTATAAATGACCATGTCCATGTTTTGCACCGGGAGAACTGAAATAAGTGTCAGATAAAAAAGATTCTAGGAAACACGCAATAGCATTATATATTTACTTATTTAAAATCTGTGTAAATCTGTGTGTTGAAATCCATTTTCACGGTGAATAAAATTTCGCGTCACTAAAGTAAAAACAAGTTCTATATCCCACGACATTCAATTTAGGAGAGGATAAAAACCACAAAAGAATAGCATAAAATGGAATACTGTTTCTGTGATTGTTAAGACTTCTTCATACTTAAGTAGCCTTTTTTTCTATCTTTAACAGGAAGTTTTAGCAGAATCTTCTGCGCATGTGTCTACATAATGGCGCTCTTACTACAAGTGTGCTCTAATCCTGAAGAAACAGCGGTGAAGAAAGCTTCTTCATCAGAGAGAGCTGAGCTACTTGCCATGAAAAATGTTACAGAAATCTTTTTGTCTAATTCATCATTATCTACAGATGAAAATAACGACTCAAAGTCTGTTTTGAAACTCCAAAATGTATCGAATGACGCCATCCTCGCAGAAAAAATTGACGAATGTTTAAAAAACGGCACTCAATTGTTGGACTGCTTTCTCTTACTTAACGTTAAATTTGATAACAGTCATCACACAGTGGGTGATCTTTTTAGAGAATTGTGCTCTTTATCTTCATCCGGCCAGGATAATTTCCATCATTCCAATCTTTACAATGGATCAACTCCTACCATCCATTACGCGGAGAGGTCGGACCAGCTTTTATCTGTAGCTTCGACGACTTCCGCCCTTGGAATAGTCTGTAACTTATTAACTATTGTAGTCATTTTAAAGAATACTCAGAAAACTATCTGTACAATGCTTCATGGACATTGTGATTTGATTAATTTAAAATGTCAGGAGCCATTTTCCCTAGCAGGGGAGAGTGTCACAGTTGTAATTAAATTATAATTATTATTAAATATTTGATTTGATGCTTTGCGCAATATTAAGTACGTATTCCGATTGGCGCGCATAGCCAATCGAATACAACCGGTTTTGCAGGTATGTGAGAGCCATGTGCGAGTGTTTAGTTTTGTACAGGTAAATTTCTATTTTTAGCATTTCCTTTACGTATGACTGACCAGTGACCTACCATGGACCAATGGATTTCGTTATACTAATTAATATGCATGTTTTACTAACCCGTGCACTATATAAAGTAAGAAACCCGCCGAAATCCCGACCCCAAGCTCTACAGCCTTTACGGTAGCAGATTGCTTATCTATATTATCACAGATCGATTCAACGATGTACTATAATATTTTTCTGACTTGATACTGGATGCCTGGTTTTTCTTTATATCCATTAAAATATCTAAAACGACCGAACCAGTTTTGTTTTGAATTCTTCTAACAAGACCGTGACCCTGTGACATTAAGTGTTATTTAAGATATGAAATCTGGACAGTTTGTACACATTTTTGATGACTGTTTAATCTTTAAAGCGAAAGAAGAAGTGTATGTATATATTGAGGTTAACCGTGGTAGTGTTTAGAAAAGTTAAATTAGTAACTGTATTAAAGTTGCAATAATAACTGTATTATTAAGGGGACCAAAAGTGGTTTCCATTGTGCAATATTTCACGCATCATAGTCAAATGAAACGTATTTACTGTTTCAAAGAAACCTTTATCGCTTAATCATTAAAATAAATCAAAATTAAGAAATTAAACGTAAAAAAATGCAATTGAAATTTCATATAACTGATTTTTTAACGATTTTGTAATTGATAAGTTACTTGACGTCGTTACAGTGTGTTTTTGAGGTTATGATAAACAGCGACTAGATGTTATTAAAGAACGAGATCCAATGGTATTATAGGTTACCTGAGTATCATTAACAACTTTCTAACAATGATATGTTTCCTACCGGTACTTGAAACCAGATGCCAAGAAATTTACAATTTTGAACGAGGTACCATTGCTTATCATAATTATAAACTTAGCATGATTTATCTATTCTCTCAATACCCTGTGACCAGAGTAACAAAAGGAAAACTGTACTTTCACTTCATAACCAGTTGTGCACCCCACCCCAAAGGAACCACTGACCGTGGGATCACACATTTCAATATTTTGGAGATTTTATCATAAAATAGTTGATAAATACTACAGAGCAGTTTTAAAAGCATTAATTTATCTTCAGACCATGTAACCCTCCCCCTGATGCCCCTGACCAAGGCGGAAAGAAATTAACTATTTCGCTAGATTCACTTTTCTTCATTATAAATATAAATACTTGGATCATTGACATAATACCTAGGAGCAAAGGAAAAGATTTTCAAAAAAAATAATGTATTTTCACTATATAATCAAAAGAGCCCCACTTTACACAATGCAAAGTCTCTGACACAGGGGCCATAAAAATCACAATTTTGGAAGAGGCAATCTTGTGCATCATAAATTTGTACTAATATAATTTAATAACCAGGAAAGGATAAGGAGATTTCCAAATAATTAACATTGAATCTACACTACCAGAGGATGCTTCCACATGAGTTCAACTTTCCTGGCCTATTGATTCTTGAGAAGAAGATTTTTTAAAGATTTCTCCTATGTATTCCTATGTTTTTTTTTAAATCGTTTATTCAATAATGTACAACATAACAGTGAGGCAAAACATCCGCAGAAGCCCTCTGGTAATACTTCACCAGGGATGCCAGGAGCTCCCTGGATCGATATAATATTATATAATATATTTCCAATATTTGAACACAGAATTTTTCACATTATACTAATATAATTATTGACAATTTCATACATATACATGTACCTAAATATCTCAAAGGAAATTTTTATCATATTTATATATAAGAACAAAGTATTCGTTTAACACCAATAGAAGCATGACCCTTGTTGCAGTGGAGATTGTGTGAAAAAAGAAAAGAAAGTCTATATATCAATCTCACTGTAACTAGTATTTAGGGCCAGGTCACCCTAAGATACTGGTCTTTTTATGTTTACATCTTAAAAACAGGATCAATATGCAGAGTTTTCTGTATGGCATGTCAAACGTTGCTATATTCGATAATCTTGTGATGTATATTCAAAATCTTGTGATGTATGTTCAAAATCTTTAGATACATATTCAAAATATTGTGATGTATTTTCAATATCTTGTGATGTATGTTCGAAATCTTGTGATGTATATTCAAAATCTTGTGATGTATGTTCGAAATCCGGTGATGTATATTCGAAATCCTGTGATGTATATTCGAAATCTTGTGATGTATATTCTGTAATCTTGTGATGTATGTTCAATATCTTGTGATGTATATTCGAAATCTTGTGATGTATATTCTATAATCTTGTGATGTATGTTCTATAATCTTGTGATGTATATTCAATATCTTGTGATGTATATTCGAAATCTTGTGATGTATATTCTATAATCTTGTGATATATGTTCAAAATCTTGTGATTTATATTCGAAATCTTGTAGTGTATATTCGAAATCTTGTGATGTATGTTCGATAATCTTGTGATGTATATTCGATGATCTTCTGATGTATATTCGAAATCTTGTGATGTGTGTTCTACAATTTAGTGATGCGTGCAATAATATTGCATGACGCAACAGAAAAGTAAGGACAGTTTTCATTTGTTAGAAATAACGAAAGTAACTGAAGCAATTGATGTCGGGAAAACTATGCAGGTGAGAAAAAACACATCAGTTTGTTTATTACAGCACTAATTACGAGATGCACGAGTGTTGACCCTGGTGACATGATGGAGATATTTCGGCCTGCTAGGGAAAAAACTGAGTAAACGTAGATAGGCCTATATTGAAAAAAATTGTAGGTACTTGTAACGATATGTCACGATGCTGCATTGTCAGATACATACATGCTAAAAAGTTAAATCTCGTAGTAATCAATATAGCAGAAGAATAATGAAGAGTACATACTACAAAAACTGTGCAATTTGTAGCAAGATTAATTTTTGTTTAACAGCTGCTTTTATTATATTTTGTTTCGTATTATTACTACCAAATACTGCTACCGTTTGTTAATGTTATGCACATGGTTATCTTGTACTTGCAAGTAATTGTAACATTTAAAAAAAATAATGAAAAAATAAGTCATTTAGGCTATGATTTGATAATAACATGCAAAATGAACATGTTTTGCTTTTTAATTCTCCTTCACTCAGTCTTTGTATAATATATATTTTTAGACGAGCTGATCGCCAACCAGGAGATCAGAATGATCGCATCTGCTCCTGCCACTTTAAGGATGGTAAGAAGCAGGGGGACCCTGCATATTTTGCATGGAATGAAGGAAAGGCCATGGATTTCTCTGATCCTGAATGTACAAAAAGGTGAAATTATTTTTCAAAATATGACCGACATCTTGTTTTTGGATGGTGGGTGGGTGGAGTTTAATTGAGAATATTTTACTAAAAATCTTTAAAAGGGTACATGTATAAACAGAGTAGCTTACAACTGAAAAAAAATAATTCAAGTTTAATTATTTTACAAAGGAGGAAAAAACTCAAAAGTGAGGAGTCTCTGTCATCTTCACAGATGGACCAGTTGCAGATTCCACAAGCACCAAAATGTCAAGATCAAGAAAAAGTAAAGCTCAGTTAAAACACCAATGATGACAAATGACCAACACTGAAACATTTTCAATAAGTTTTGATAATATATAACAGTTCTTTTAACTGTACATCGAATTACTCATGATTTACAATATATTTTCAGTTGATATCAGAGCACAACTACTCAGCATCCTGCACATTTAACTGTACTCAAGAAATGCAGCGCCTCTCAACAGAAATACAACTGGAAAAGGAATTGCTTGCCTAAAAATAGAGTCCAGTAAAAGGAAGCCAATATCAATTCACGATATTAAATACAACGAAGAGAAGGTACATTTAAAGGAATTCCAATTGTGATTTCCTATTTCCTAATAATTTCAGTAAAACTTGTTGCCGTTGAGGGATGAACATCTTAGATTGACTGTTATGTTAACATATTTTGTTATTATCATTGAGTTCATAATATGCAATTTAAAATAACAGAGAAAAAAATCATTTAATTTGCTCTTTGGGTGAATAATATCTAAAACCTTCTCTGTATAAACCATGTTTTACTCTATGACAATTATCAGAACACTAAATGTCTCATTTCAACAGTTTTTAAGTAAATGCATAAAATGGATAGTAGCAAACCTGACTGTTTTCAGTTTTTGGAAATATTTTAATCAGTATTAAAACAAATTTATTTTCAGATGCTTTTGTATACATCCCTACAGTATGACAGGCATATTCTAAATCTTAGTCAGATTGATACAACGATTTGAACTCGATTATTAAAATGGCTGGACTCCTTCGATGAAAACAGAGGACCAACTGCTCATTGTACTAATGAAGTTAAAACTCAATCTACGGGACACTGACTTGGCTGATAGATTCTGTGTCAGTGGACACACAAGATGCTATCTGATGGGGTAGTCAATGAATGTTTTCCAAGTCAGCTTAAATGCAAAGGTTTGTTTTAAAATTTATCATAATGACTTGCAAAAATTTAATGCAGTTAAATTTATTGTATTCTTGAAAGTTTGACTGTAACACAATTTTTTTTACACAATTACAAATAATCAAATTAATTTTTTTCCAACTTTTTTTCAGGGTCTCTGCCGAAATCTTTTGAGGATTTTTCCTCTGCTAGAGCATCCATGGATGCAATTGAAACAACCCAGGACATCCCAACACATATGGACAATCAGGCCATGGCCTACAGTATGTACAAAAGTCGCCATACTTTTAAAGCAGTAATTTGCATGGCTCCAAATGGTGCACTTACATTTTGCTCCATGCTGTACCCAGGTTCTACTTCTGATGTAGCTATTGTACGTCACAGCCAAGATTTACGAAAGTTCAAAGCAAGAGACCTTATTTTGGCGGTCAAAGATTTCACCATTCATGACCAGTTGCCCCAGGGTGTCTGCTTAAAAAGACCAGCTTTTTTATCGACATGAGGCCAGTTTACCAAACAAGAAGCAGCACTGTGTTACAAGATTGCTAAAGCACTTATTCATATGGAAAGAACCAACGAGAGGATAAAGAATTACAAGATTCTCCTTCACATCCCATCTACTTACAGACCAATCTCAACAAAAATATTTCAACTCTGTTCTTGTCTTGTAAACTTGCAAGCTCCACTTTTGAAAGAAATTACTTAAAGATACATGTACTTATTATAAATTTGCATTGGCGTGTGACAGTATGTTACACAAAACAGTAAAGATATTCATACCAAAGTGCAAGGGATAAGCAAATTTGATTTGTTATCAATGACAATGGTTATATTTGTTAACTTTGTAGTATGTTGTAATACATGTACTTCAGAAAATGAAAATCCCTTTTGTTAGCATGGATTTATTACAAGAATGTTTGGCAATTCCATTCTTCATTTGACAATATATTTTGGAAGAGGGTTTACTTATAATTTTAAATCTCTAATTTCAAGTATATTTACCTTTAAAGAACAACTCAACAAATTCATGTTTTCAACAATTTATCTATTAAGAGAGACAGAAATGTCACATTTTCACTTTGAGAAAAACATCTTCAATTCATTAATAAAATGATTCTAAATTTTGATATTCTTTTTTATGTAGTACATAGGTTTTATTTATCATCATTGCTATTTAAAATAGTCTTATAAGCCAAAAGTTTTATGATGGATTGTGATATATCATATCATACATTTATAAGACTTAGGAACATTCAACACATTTAACATGATTACCCATTTTCCATTGTTAGAAAATTCTAGAGGTACAAAACTAAGTGTCAAGAAGTTCAAACCAGAACTCAGTTTTCCATCAGTGCTGGAATGAAAATGTTAATGTAGAAATCTATCAGCTTTGAAACATTTGCTGTCCATTCAATGTCTTTTACTATTCTAATCACAATGCAGTCTACTCTTGTCCACACAATTAAGTCGCAGCATGTTTTGTTACATATGTGTAGCTGGCCTTGAATTTGCTGATAGTATGGGTGACTGGTTTTCAGGCACAGGGTATCTTGTTTAAGATCTAAAAAAATCAAAAAACACTTAAGTTGTGTTATACCAGTTCATATCCCCTCCTTTTTCAATATCTTCATACCATATTGAACAGCTGCACTTGTAAATTAATACATGTTTTGAAATCATTTACTCACCAAGATTTTTAATTTCAAAGTACTGGACAATACAGATTTTTAATGTTATTTACCTATGCAAAATCCTTCAAATTTTGTGCCCCATCTGCTACTGTTGAAGACGATGCTGTATATGGACACTTCACCTCTACAATATCAGGAATGGCGTCTTTGGCTTCTGGAGTTTGATAAAATACACTGCATGTTGGTGGTCGAACAACTAAGCCATCAGGTGAAGCTCCCAACACTCCGGATTCATGCAACCATATCCCTTTCAGAAGAAATTATAATATTACTGAATGCAAACAAACCATAATACAATTGATTTTGTAATGCAAACAAAGTCTAAGTAGAGCTTTTATAATCCTTCCACTTCAAAAAGCAAATTTTCTGGAATATGTTGGTAATTGAATATTTTTTTTTACAATTAGACTTCAGTAATTGATTTCTGTTTGTCACCAGGATAAGTCCTGTTATTTGTTTTGACACATTGAATGTTAACATGTCAGAGGTTGAAGGAATGTTATTTTGTGCTGTATACCTGACTGCTCTACAGCTGCATCAAAGTCCTTTTCATACTTTCTCAAAGCATCATCTTCATGAGTGATACCCCATGCAACAGCCTTGATGGACTCCAGATTGTAAGCCGACATCAGCCGTTTCTTCAGTGACAATGTTAGTCTGGAGAAGAAAATATGATTTTTGGTTATTAATCTTATATTTCCTGCATCTTTATGTACAAATATCTAGTCATTACAGTCGAACCTCATTATCTCAAACTCAATGAGACCAAGAAAAATGTTGGAAATATCCGTGGATTCAAGAATAATACATAAAGAGTTATCGAGAATAAAATGTCCCAGTCTTTTATGAATGGTTTGGACTTCAAAATTACTTTGACGTATCCATGGAATTTGAGATAATGGGCTTGAGATAACAAAGTTTGACTGTAATTTAAAAAGTCTATTTCGCAAAAATTTAATCACACGTCTTACCGCCTTTGCTTAGAACTGAGAACTGCATCAAAGTTGGAAGCTGATATTCTGTATTTCCTTACAATCGACCACATTGGGTTGTTTTGTTGCCAATGCAGCTCTTTTAATGGATTCATCTGACAGGGATAACGCATGTCGTAACCATACCATAGGAGTATCAGAATGAACATACTCTGGTGATGTTAACAGGTCTTCAATGAGAGGTACAGGTGGACCAGGTTCACATGGCTCTGGTTCAAGAATCTAATTCAATGCTGAAAAATTTCATTACTTGTGTCATTCTCAAAAATATCATCCATAATATCCATATCACATATACCAAGTATTTATATAAGAGTCCATACATTTCATTTTAGTGAACACTGTAATGGGTTTTTGTAATGTATGCATTACATATCAAATTTACAACTCACTTGCATATATTTGTTCAGAATTGTTACTGTATATAATTTTGCACGTGGCATTCTTAGTGTGAAAATGCCATGGAAAAATTGGTGCAAATGTACAATTAATATTTACTAAATTATTAACAAGGTTTCATAATGACAGAGTATTTAAATAATAGAAGAATGATCTGATAATTCGCAAGAATATAAAACAAAATATTTTTTATAATACAATTGAATAATTTATTTTTCCTTTCAAAAATGTATGCTCATGTACAAATATGCTATCATATTTATAATATTGTCTTTCCAATTATTCAAAGGTTGTTATTAATATTTATTACAAAGTATGTTCAAAAATTGGGCAATATACATAAACAACTATATTATGCTCCTCATCTTTGTACATTTGTTCACAATGAAAATTAACCATCGGTCAGTAATAAAATAACAGTTTCATAATACTTGTAATATAAAAATCAAATCAAACTTAAATAACAACAATAGTAACACCAAAATCATAACTTCCTTCTTATATTTTACCAATAAACCTTCCAAGCTTTGCTAACTCTTGGTGCAAAAAACAGCGGTCACTTTCATCAAAGGGTCGGTTTAAAGCACTTCAAATATGAAGCAAATTTTTTTAACGACTGATTTATTTATATTTAATGATTGATCATTTAAAAAAAAAAAAAAAACAAGAGGCCCATGGGCCACATCGCTCACCTGAGCACTGTGGCTAGGAAAAAGTAAAAATTGTTTTTTTTATTGAAAAGTTTAAATCCAAAAGTAGTCCCCTGACCAATCATTGCTTTGCTTTTCTTGAGAAGGTTATTTTTAAAGAATTTTCCTATATATTTCTATATAAAATTTGATCATCCCTTGCAACCCTGTCCTACCCCCGGGGGACATGATTTGAACAAACTTGAATCTACACTACCTAAGGATGCTTCCATATAAATATGATCAATCAGGGTTTTGCTGTTCTTGAGAAGAAGATTTTTGAAGATTTTTCCTATATATTTCTATGTAAAACTTTGATCGTTCATTGTGGCCCTGCCCTACCCCGGGGGTTATGATTTGAACAAACTTGAATCTACACTATCTGAGGATGAATCAATATGAGTTTCATTTTCCTGGCCCAGTGGTTCTTGAGAAGAAGATTTTTAAAACATACCATCAAATTTTCATTAATTCCCAATTATCTCCCCTTGAATGAGGGCGTGGCCCTTTATCTGAACAAACTTGAATCCCCTTCACCAAAGGATGCTTTGTGGCAAGTTTGGTTGAAATTGGTCCAGGGGTTCTTGAGAAAAAGTCGAAAATATGAAAAGTTTACAGACAGACAGATGGACAGACAGACAGACAGCTAGATAGACGGACGCCAGACAAAATGTGATCAGAAAAGAGCTAGAAATGAAACATTCGTCACCACAAAAGCCAGAAGAATATAGGGACCACCATAAGTAACATGTTTCTGGGAAGAACCAAACCATGCAGAGATAAATATCAATAGTCCTGAAGCTTCGATGCAGGACCAAGTACGAGAATTGCTACAAACACTACTCCGGAGACTTACCTATTATCCTATGATGTAACGTACTTTGTCCACTGCAGCTGGTTCCCTCATAAGCTGGTAGCGAGGACAGTTCAGGATGTCCTGTCAACTTTATTCCTCAACTTCCTGTCTTGGACTGAAAAGCAATAAGTGGAAATCTTTAGTGTTGCCTAGTGACTTTGAATTAAAAAGAAAGTTGCAAGATTGTGTAGGCGGCTCGACAGAGGAGACTTGGATGGGAGGTTGAACTCTCTTCTTTGGTTTATTTACCTGGGCACAGTGGGTGGTTTGTTTTCCTTGGTTTGACTGGGTCCTGGGTTTTCATGTATGGTTGCAACAGCTGTCCCATGCGGCTTTTTCT